TCCTGTCCTTCTACTCTGTGGATCATACAGTCCAGTCCCATCAAGGAAGCATGGGGGGAATTCGAACACCCAGCCTCTGGCTCGGAGACCACTGAGCTCTACAGCCATTCTATGCATTCCTGTCCTTCTTTCCTTGAGCTAAAATCATCTTCCATTGGCTCCCCTCCTCTCTGTTTTGTCCTCACAACCACCTTACGAGGAAGGCCAGGCAGAGAGGTGTAGGATTCGCCTATCCAGGCTGTTTTGTAGGCGAGCGAGGATTTGAACCCAGGTCCTAACCCAATGCTCTCACCACCACATCCTATGATTTTGCCGTCCATCAAAGGTCAACAACGTCCTCCCCCCCCCACAGCAACCTGAGGAGCCATTTCCTCCCCCCCTCCAAGCTTCCAAAAGCAATGCCGATCCCCCAAAATGGGGAGAGAGAAATTAAAAATAAACCCTGGAAGTAGAGGGAAGTCTATACATCCCATTTTGCAAATAAGTTTTTAAAAATAATAATAAAGATTTTTTTTAAAAGGGAAGCTTTTTATTTGCAAAAGAGGCACAGCCTTGAACTCATAGAAAGAAGACCAGGATAGAAATGTCTCTTAGACAGACAGACAGAGCCACATTTTCGCCCAAGAAATATTCCATTTCAAAGCAGGAACCAACAGAAATGCACCAACAGCCGGGTTTCAAATGGCCTCTGTTTCTCCCCCCCCCAAGCATCTGCCTTTTCAATATTCTCTCGCTTGTCCCCGATCTGATGCCTCCCCCTTTCTCACGCCCGGCTTCCCTGTGCGCTCCCTATATTTTCCATTTCTGCGCCATCCCCGATCTGTCAGTTCCTTTAAAATACTTTATGCTCACCCGGACAATTATGATAAATAACGAGGCCAGAAAGCAAGCCGGGCCGGGCGACGGGGAGGAAGAGAGGCTAGCATTGCTGAGGGGGTGGATTGCGTGGCAACTGGGCCGTGTGTGTGTGTGTCTTGTTATCTCTCGCACTCGGCACCCACGACGGCGAGCGAGGGGCTGGCGAACCCCTGCGGCAAGCAAGGCGATGCACAAGGGCAGTTTGGAAAGGGTGGGAAGGAGGGCGAGGGGGGGAGGCAAAAGGAGCAGGGGGGGAATGAGAGCCACAGCCCCAAGAAAGGGGGGTTGCAGATCTGGAGGTGGTCGGCAGAAGCGGGGTCACCCGGAGCGAAATAGCATTTGCAGCAAGGGGGGGCTGAGGCCCCCTTTAGGTCCCCCAAAACCCCGGGAGATTGGCTTTTACCCCAAACTGTGCATCTTTTATTTTTCTTTTCCAGCATTCCCATGTTCCTTTTGGGGGGGGGACCCCCTTATTTTTGGACTGGAAAGGGGAGGTTAAACCCTTTAATGAGACTCGGTTTGATAGCGGAGGGTCTGTTTCCATCTCTGCCTCTTTGCCACAAACTGCCCCGAGTTCCAATCCTGGGAGCCTGGTGGGATTGCTCCTTGAATAAGTAGTCACAGAACTGTAAAGCTGGAAGGTTCCCCAAAAGGCCATCTAGACCAACCCCCTCCCCCCAAAACCATGAATCCACAGCTACATAATCCCGATTTTATTTTGCTTTTTTAAAAAACCCTATTGGCTGCCCTTCTCTGGACACAATCCAGATCATCCACCACCTTCATCAACCGGGGGCGCCCAGAACAGGACCCAGGATTTGAACTCTGACCAAAGCACAGCCGAAGGTGCACCGTTTGACTTCCCTTAATCAGGGCGCCATGTTTGTGTGGATGATTTATCTTCCTGATGAAGAGCAATAAATAAAGCGGAAACTCACCAGATGGTTTTGCACTCCGAAACCGAATTCATATTCTTTATTAGAAACGGTGGCAGGAGGGCTCCCTTGAGGGCATCTAGCCCAACCTCCTCCCAGTGCCGAAGCTGGAAGGAAAGAAAGGACTCACTCAGTTTTCCTCAAGTTTGGCATATTACACTGAGACGAAAGGGCCTCCTTGTGAGTCAATGCTCCCTGTCCCTAGACGAATGCCTTTCGGGTCCAGGCTTGACCTCCGAATTCTCTGGGCGGGTAATTCCACCCCTACCTGAACACAGACCACTCGGTTTGTCAATGCAGCTTGGAAAAACTATTTATGGTTGGTTTTGCAGTCCCCAAAACTCACTTTTTGAGGCTCTGGATTGGTTCGGCTTACCTCAGCTTTGCATACAGCTGGACTGTGACGGCACTCCCTGGATCAACAAAGGCTGCACACGAAGGAGGTGTGAAAATATTAACGGTGCTAACGATCCACGTCCTACGGGCCTAAAACTTCCAACTCGGGTAGGATTCATCCAACTGACTGTTGAATCAAGATGGAGTCAAGGGGGACCTGCTCCGGCTGGAATCAGCGCCTGGATGCTCAGTGGATCCCATCAGGGTGATCTCCAGCCACCTGAAATCTCCGGGGAAGAGGCCTCAGGCTGAGCTGCCACCCCCCCCACTCCATCCGTTCTGCATCCTCAGTGGATCCCATCAGGGTGACCTCCAGCCACCTGAAATCTCTGGGGAAGCGGCCTCAGGCTGAGCTGCCACCCCCCCACTCCATCCGTTCTGCAGGAAAGGCCACCCAAGCGTTCCCCCCCCCCCAGGCTCACCCCAGACCTGGTGCATCTCTCACTGGTGGTGGATGCGAAGGGGTTCCTTTCTCATCCACCTCATCTCCAGCATCCTTCCAGTGGAGACGCTGCTTCCATGACCAGATGCCAGGGAGACCCATGGGAAGGGGTGCCTCCAGCCCTTCGGAGTGGGATGATGGCCTTCAGACCACGCAGGAACAGAGATGAGCTCAGAGTGACAGGGGTCCCCATGCTCCCTGGGGGTGTGTGTGTCTTTACCTCCTTAAACCCCTCCAAGCCGGAAAGGCTCCCGGGATTGGACCCGAGGACCTTACCGCGCACCGTACGGATGCTCTAATGCCGAGCCTGGACTCTCTCCAGGATGCCAGACTTGGCCACGTGACCCCCTTTGACACGGAACAGCCCTCTCTTTGAAAGGTGGCCGCAGAAACAGCTTCCTCTCTCTTTAAAGGGGTGGCCAGCCTTTGGCTGAAAGGTCAGAAAAACCAGGACAAGAAAGATTTGGGACCTTAAAGTTCAAAGCTCTTGAACTCTACGAGTTCAAGGTTGAGCAGCACCGAGCCCGCCAGCCCTCCCACCAACTTGTCTTTCCTACCGCATGGCACAATGCGCTGTGTTTTGATGTGAATTAGGTTTCGATCCAAGTCACCTTTAACTTTAATTTAAATTATCCCATCTAAACTACGGACATTCCTAGGTAAATTTGCACCTGGGCCCGCACGGAACAGCCCACGTGGCTCGGCACACATCAGCCTCTGTCCTTGCCGGGGTTTTTTAGTGGTGCCTCCGTGGCCGTCCTCCACCCACCAGCCAGCCACGTCTCCCTCTCCCTCCTGTGGCGTGGTTCGAGTCGGCCTGGCAGCGGCTCCCGAGCCACCGATGGGAGGCTCTTCCCAGGCCCCCAGCAGGCTGGGAGTTGAAAGCCAGAGAGAGCCCCTCTGTGTGAACTCACATAACTCAAGACAAACCCTCTCCGCTCGGCAACGCGCTCTGTGCTTCCCTGGCACCCAAGCGCTGGCCCGCAGGTGACAAACAGCCAGGCAGAAGGATGCCTGCACGCTTTGCCCTCCTCCACCCCCACACATCTGAAGACGGCGCCCTTTCCACCATCGCTCATCAGCCGCTGGCTCGGAAAACCAGCTCAGCTGGTACCCTTCCATGGTCTCCTGGGCCAGGAATGCCACCTAATGGCAGAGCCTTCTCTAAGCAGCTCCTTGGTGCTGTAATTCCACCCCCTTTTTCCCTCTCTTTTTCTTGCCAGAGGCTTATAAAAATGCACATTAAAAAATGTGCAGATCCTTAGAACGTAATCTTAGAACCACAGAACTGGAAGAGACCCTCTGGATCATAAAGTCCGGTCCGTTTCCAAAAATTTAGCCTCCAACACGGAATCAAGACGCCAAGCCTTGTTATTCTCCACGTCACGTTTTTGCAGCATTTCAGCAAAAGGTTTCTATCGCTTTGCGGAGGCCTCAGCACAAGACATGGGCCGGGTGAGCCTCGAGCACACCGCCTCGAGCCTTCCACGTGCAACACAAGACAGCTGGCCTTGTTTCCCCATAAGTGAACATTGACGCCAGATGCCTCTCGCACACTTCCCTCCCCAGCCAGTTTGAAGCCAATGTCTCTGAGGCGGTCAAAAGCGGGACGGAAAGGCGAGGGTCTCCTTCCCACGGGCCCTCAGCAGCCACACCATACTCCGTGGTGGAGCAAAAGTCACCTCGCTTAGCAATCCCAGCTCATGGCGCTTGACCAGCCTATCCGTTTTTTGCGACATTTGGAAAAAATCACTGCTCAGAGTCTTGTGACCCTTGGAAAAAATCATCCCACCCTGGTGATGACAAACACAATGCATCATTCTTAACCAGTGCAAAGTCCCCACCGCCACCGCCACCGTGTAAATATCCCCAAAGCTTCCTGCTGATTTAGAGTCTGGGGGATGCCCAAACGATCTGTGAGTTTTGGAATCATCCATAAAATCAGGTTTGTGTCGATGGGTGGTTTTCATTTCTGTGGCTGTTCTTTAAGCAACGTGTGGCGGTCCAAACTGGCCACAGCTTGCTTTCTCCCACAGGTTCTCTCATGTGGAGTTTCTACCGGATGAAAACTCTGGAGTTGAAAGGGGACCCTGAAGGTCATCCAGTCAACCCCCCTTCAGCCTATGCAGAAAATCCACCTCTCCAGCATCTCCCAACAGGTGACCCTCTAAACTTCCACCAAGGAGTGTCTACCAGTTCCCAAAAGCTGTCCCTTCCCTGCTCAGACAACCCTTCCCATCAGGATTTTCTCTCCAACCTTCAGCTGGAACGGAGATCTGAATCTTTGGCGTGAACCTCTGCCTCCAGTTTGCTGCCTTTGAGACTCTATGAGGGTGAAACATTAAATAGAATTGTTTTTATTTATTCCATTAAATATAAGTGCATTTATTTTTTAAATAGCTTGAGTACAGAACTTTTTTTAAAAAAAGAGTGACTTTCTTCCGTTATATCACGCAAATAATGACTTTAAGCTAATCAAACCGTTCCAGACCCCACATTTTAAAAAGCTGCTGGGTGAAAGATAGCCACCTATTTTCAAACAACGGCAGTAATTATTTAAAAAAACAAGTGTCCAACAGCATTAGTCCTCTGTGCAGACCGGATACCCTAAACTCATCTGCCTCTTGCTGGCCACTGTGTTCAGATGAAATATTTGAATTTTCAGAGTTCAGGGAAGCATCCTTAATTTGCAAGACTATATTATTGCACTCGAGGGTGTAAAGCACATCGCCAGCATAAGAACGGAGGTGTTTCTGAGGTGGCGCCTGTCAAAAAACATCTCATTTCCAGCATTAAGGAAAAAGGATCTGGCCGGAATTTGGGCCACCGGAGACAGAAGATGAAGGAGACGAGAAAAACAGCTTTTTATACACAAGTAACCTGGAGCGTTGTGAAGAACTTCGCTTTTAGAGCCACCACACACAAATGTATACACACAGAGACACTCATGAACACAACTCCATGGCATTGGTGGGCAACATAGGAAGGAAGGAAGGAAGGAAGGAAGGAAGGAAGTGATGATGGATCGAAGGAAGGAAGGAAGGGCCAATATGATTGTGTGTGGCTAACCTTGTTAGAAACCAGAGATCAAAAGAGGTAGGAGCATGAATTTGTGGGTTTGTGACGGAAATGAAGCCACACAGTTTCTGTCCCCCCAACAATACCAGGGGCTTCCACAACTGGAGTGCTCAGAAAAACCAGTTTCATCCTTATCAAACCAAGTCTAGACTACAGAAGGTGGACCGCTCCATTGTACAACCTCCTCGCTTACAGAAAGATAGCCTCTGAGGGGGAAGGATTCTCACTCAGCCTCCAGCCCTGACACTCTAGCGCTCAGCTGGCAAGGACAAAACATCTCTGGAATTGGAAACAAAGGGCTGTGAGCATCGCTAGGTCTTTGGCACCGCTTAACCGCCCCTCGTGGGCAACATTTTCAGCCTGCCTTTCCTAGGGACTAAACCTACACACACACACATACACACCCCACACAAACAGACAATCATTTCTTGAAAAACTTCTTGTTCAGGAGGAAGATGAGAAGGTTGACGTTGACTTTGGCCTTGTCGAACATTTTCATGACGGCAACGCCCTCGTACTGCAGCTGCAGGAGGTCCTGGGGGGGGGAGGAAGAGCGAGAAAGTCTCGTTACCTCTGAAACGATATTTCGGGGAGCAGGCTCGCCTCTTCATCCTTGGGAAGAAAGGACTCAGGAAAATACCTTCCTCGTCCCCTCGCCCTACTGGACCCCTTTTTTGGGGGGGTTCCCCATAATGGTCAAAAACCCCTCCCACTCCAACTGAGACCCCAGGGCTTGTCCCTCTTGCAGTCAGAATCCGGCCCTTGGCAGCCTCCGCAGGCTTTCCAATAATGGCCCGAAGCTTAGAAGCTTTTGCAGGGTTGCATCCTCTGAGTTCATAGAAGCAAATATATTTCCATCTATATTTCCATCTATGAACTCAGAGGAAGCAAGCCTGCAAAATATATTTCCATAGATTTGCTTGCTTTTTCCACTTGCTGTTAAAGATGCCTTAAGTAGGGAATGAATTTGCCTCCCTATTCCACATATCCTACTTCAGAGATTTAGCTTTCCAGCAACCCCCACAATACTTTTCCAATTTAAAAAGACTGAGTTTTTTTCCCCAATCAGGAAACAATGGGGGTGCAATTTTACCACGTCTCCCCCCCTGCAAGATGTTTGAGCTCTGCCTGTCTATCTGTCTGTCTGTCCAAGCATTGTCTAAGCCTTTCCTATATCAACAGATTTCATGTCAGGGCATAAATTATAAAGTTTTTTTGTCTGGTGTTGTATGTATTACAAACCCCACATAGTGCCTGAGCCCTAATAGGAGGGGTATATAGAAGTTAAATAAATAAATAAAAATTATTAATAAAGTCCCATTAAATGACCCTAATTCAATTGAACCCAACGAAAACCTTTAAAAAAATAAAACAGTAACCAAGTCTATTGACTGGACGTTGTGATGGAAAAGAGATTCCTCTCCATTTTTCCCTACCTCCTGGGCTTTGCTCATCATCCTTAGTGCATTAAATGTTAGTTTGGCGGCTCCTTGGGGCAGAGAATACTCTCCTTCTCCCCCTCCCCCCCCCACCGTGCAATGGGAATGCCCTCCAGAACAGAGACTCCACCAGAGGTGCGGCCGAACTGCTTCCTCACCTGGTAATGGAGCTGAAACTTTTCCATCTCGACGCCCATAAACTTCGCCTTGACTTGGAACTTCCCGGCTTCCCCACAGGGCACAATTTCAAAGACAACATTTTTGAGTCTAATTAGAGAGGCAGAGGAAAACGGTATGTGTGTGTGTTAGGTTTTTAACTACATGAAGAGGGAAAAACACAGTTAGAGGCCCAGAATAAGAGGTATTTTCCCCCCATTCCACAAAGCCGCACAATGTAGCGGTTAGAGTTTTGGCCTCAGGCTTTGGAGAACCGGGTTCAAATCCCGGCCTCTCAGCTCTGGAGTTCGTTGGCCGAGGGCAGGCCGACCGTCGTCCCTCTTTGCACCTGGACCACCTCGCATGGCTGTTGTGCAGGTCAAGGAAGCAAATCAAGCCACCGGAAGCGATTTAGGGGGAGAAACACCTAATGTACCAAGAGTTAAAAGTGCAGGTTGACAGATTCTGGGTGGAAAGCCAAATATCAGCCAGGAATTAAAACAGTGGATCCATTTTCTCCATTGATCCCACACCAGCCATGTGGGAAATCAACTTGCCAACCCCCGAGAGCCCAAGGGAAGGCAAAAGCGACCCCCCCCCCGTCCACCTGGAGGGTGTCTCCGCCCCCCCGGCTCTGCTTACTGGCTGAGCGGGAGGTCCTCGATCGCCAGCAGGACGCCCTTCTCGTGCAGCCGGGTTCCCGTGTAATGGAGCACCGCTTGCTTCTTGCTGGACCTGAGAAGAAAGGAGAAGAGGACGACGGTGTCGGTGCCGGCGTGGGGAAACCCGAGACTCTTCGCTCTGCTTGCTCTCCACCGCCCTCAACCCCTCTCCCAAAACACACGCCGACCCTTTGCAACCCACAGGACAGGAGCAGGCACCCCTCTGGGTCCCGATCCCCTGCAGGCAGGCAAAGGGAGCAACCACGTTGAGGTGCGCACCTTTAAGCCCGGCGGAGAACCATGCCCTCATCACGGCCTCTCATTCCCCAGCAAGCAACTGCTTTGGGACAGTCTCCGAGGGCGGCCCCACGTACAACGCCTTGCCGTAATCTAACCAGCTGGCAGCTGCTGGGGTGTGTGTGTGCGTGCGTGTGGGCAAAGAAAACTGTGTCCAGGGTCAGAGTTTTGGACCATAGCAAATCAGGGGGAGAGCATCAGCCCCATGCTCCATGAGTAGAGATAAAACTTTGAGATGAGTCCTGTACCTTTGTTGCACCACTAAACACACACACACACACACACACACACACACACGCTTCCAAGTCCAGCCAGAGTTTTTTGTGGGAATTTTTTGCTTATTCTTTTAACACCCCCCCCCGCCCCCATTTTAAACCAACTAAGCCTGGAAACAGTTTCTGGAGAGGTTTTTTTTTTCATGATGGAAATTAGGTGCTGCTTAACACAAAACCTTTTTTTTCCCTGACTCTTTGCTCCCAGAGAAGGTGGAAAGATAAAAAAAAGAATGTCTCCAAATCCTGCCTAAAGGTAAAGGTAAAGGTTCCCCTTGACAATTTTTGTCCAGTCGGGTCCGACTCTAGGGGGTGGCGCTCTGCCCGTTCTTCAAGCCATAGAGCCAGCGTTTTTGTCCGAAGACAATCTTCCGTGGTCACATGGCCAGTGCAACTTAGACATGGAAGGCTGTTACCTTCCCACCGAGGTGGTCCCTATTTATCTACTTGCATTTGCATGCTTTCGAACTGCTAGGTTGGCGGGAGCTGGGACAAGGGACGGGCGCTCACTCCGTCGCGTGCATCCTGCCTACCCATGACTTAAACCAGGGATCTATGCCCTTGCCCGGGAAGCACCCATTCCTTCTTTTCCCGGCCAGGAGGGTGGTGTTTCTTGGCCGGCCCGCTTGCCCCCCCACCTCCTCCCCCCGGTTCGGGAGGCACCTGTTCTGGGCGGCCAGGTTGTCCAGGCACGTCCGGATGTATTGGTGGTAGAAGTCGATCTGCTCCTCGTAGAAGGCCTGCTTGGCATGCAGGCCGCCCAGAGTCCGCTGCAGGCTGGCCAGCTCCGCTCTGCGCCGCTGGCGGTACCGCCTCTGGTTGCAGATGTCCTGCGGATGAGAGTTGGAGAACCACAGGATCATGTCCACGGCCCAGAGGTAGACTGCCACTGAACATGGGGGTTCAGAAGGCCCCGTTCCTGGCTTTCGGCGGTCCCTCATTCCTCCCTTGCTTCTCCACTGAAGACAAAATCTTGGTCTTGCCCTGTACACCCCAAGTGCGAATCCTGCAGCCTGCCTTTGGCCCAGGGGGCCCTGCTTTATGGCTTAAGCGTTCGGCTTACACCAGTCCCTGCCCCTTGTGCCGTTAACTGCCTTCTCAGCCACTCACAAGCACACCGAGGGACCCACATTTGTGTGTCTAGAAGGCAGGACCTGCTTTTGATTGGGTTTCAATGGACAGGCCTTCCCTGGTTTTGCCCAATGTCTAGAAGGCAGGACCTGCTTTAGAACCGGTCTCCTTTTGATGATTGGGTTGCAATGGACAGGCCTTCCCTGGTTTTGCCCACAGAAACAGGTACGTCTGGGAGATGATCTTGCTTCCACAAATGATCCGGAAGTAAGACAGTATACACTTTACGGATGCTGGGCTCTTTCTCCCAGTCCCTTGCTTCCGGGCGTACCTGGGCCATCTCGTTGAGGATCGCCTGGAACTGGTTGCCGGCGTCCACCAAGCCCAGGCTGTCAAGGCGCCGAAGGTTCTTGAGGACGATCCTCTTCTTCTCCTCGAGGGAGAGGCAGGTGTCGGCCGCCAGAGGGTGGTGGGACCTCAGCCTGTCGGGGGCCCGGGCCTGGCACTCGGCCCGTCTCTTCATCCGCTGGTGGTGGACCACCTCCTGGAAGAGAAGGTGAGGGTTAGGGTCAACCCTAAAGCCATTAAAAAAGAGGAAGAAGAAGATGGAGAAGTCAGGAAGGAACCCTTCGATGCCCATTCACTCACCTGGTCCTCTGAGGCTGGTGTCTGCAAGATCTCCGTCAGGGAATCTCCCGGCTGGGACTGGATCACGTCCACCAGCAGCTGCTTGGTGCTTTAAAAACAAAGCAAGATGAACATCCAGAGAATGAGAGAGAGAGAGAGAGAGAGAGAGAGAAGATTTTCCTTCCCACGAGCTACGGAAAGGCTCTCGTGCACCACCCGAACAAAAAATAGGGTTTTTTTCAACATTGCTACGTGGCTTTATTGTTCCGGACAGAGACCATGAGCTGGACACCGGCTTTGCTTCTGGTGGGAATGGCGAATTTCACGGATGAAATAAGGGCCTTGGGAGCCGGATCAGGACGGTAAGAGGGCTGGATTTGGCCCCAGGACTGGAAGCCTTGCTCCCCTTGGACTTAAGGGGTTGGAAACACAACTCTCGGCCTATCCACCTAGTCGACAGCCCAGACCAGCTGGCTGCAAGGCCTCCTGAACTATTTACAGAACCCCCTCGACCCATGGCTTCAGAAAAACATGGCTTCAGAAAAACAATTAATCCAGCCATGAGGATGATAGCCAGTGAAGCCTCCATGCTCCCAACGCAGTCTACCATGGAATCAGAGGTCCCCAGCTGAGAAAGAAATGAGGGACGGGCGTCTCCCTCCAGACCCGCCTGACATATCTGTGGATGTGCGATGCTAAACGGGGCTAAAGTCGATTTTCTGACCCAGACACCCTGCACTGCAATCGTTCTGAAACCCACTCCAAATGCACCGGGGACCCTCTCTGCCCCTCGTGCTCATGGGCGGAGATGATTGAGCACCCCAAACATTTTTCAAAGTGCACAAGAGGGGACAAAACATCAGCAGATCGCCCCCCCATCATCTCCTCCTCTGCTTTTGGCTTTTCGAAGCCACGGGGTGGTGGTGGGGGAAGAGGTCCCCACCTCAGCAGTAAGCTGTGCGTATCCTTTCCGCCTTCTGCATCGATCACGTCGGCATCAAATTTGCTGCTCAGGATGAGTGAGATTTCCATCTTGGCCAGCTGAGCTGGGGGCTGTTCCAAAGCTCCTGGCCCTGGCTTTTCACCTGCAAACCACCACCACCACCATCATCATCATTTTCCTCCTGCACAGCACATTCAGCAGCCCAGAAATAAGGGCTGGCAAATTTGTAGCAAAACACAGAACCGGGGAGCATCCTTGGACGTGCCGGGGCAACCCCCTGGCGGCAGAGGGGAGAGGACACCCCATGGGCAGCTCAACCCTCAAGCCCGGCCCTTACCGATCACCCCATGGATGGTGGGCAGCTCGCCCAGGTCTTCCAGAAGTTCGTGGAGAGGGTCCCGAGGATCGGGGGCTACCAAGCGCTGGTGCTCCAGCAGCAGCTGCCTCAAAACACAAGAAATTCAGAGACGAGGCCATCAGGGCTCCGTTACGAAAAGCTCCCCTTTCTTTTTTAACTACATGGCCCAAAATCCCCAGAGCCCATCCTTTATACCACCCTGCCCTCTGGTGGCAAAGTCTCTCCACTGCAGCCTGCCTGTGTCAAACTGTGCTTCCTTCTAATTCCCGCACAGACATCCCCGCACTCTGTCAGAAGTAAATCAGAATTTGTCCGTTTGCTTGAATGACACAAAATTCTCTCCCTTTGTAGAAAAAGGACATCATTCAAAGACAATATTTAAAAGCTCAGAACACGATTTACAAATGTGCTATTCCCTGTAAAATCCACGGTTTCCTTAAAAGTTAAGAAATTAAACATGTATTTCACTCTCATGCGTTTATTTTGCATCGTTCGGATGTTTTATTTCCTTGCCCTGAAGGCAGCCTTGGGCTGCAACTGAGGGTGGGTGGCAGGGATCCTGAGATATTTCGGAACTCACCTCCACCTCAATGAGGACTAGAAACCCCAGAAGGATGCCTAACCTTCCCATGCTTTGCACGCCCTCACCTTGTGCGTGTTAACCAGCTCCTCGGCTGTAATGTAGATCACCGGCTTGGTGAGGGTGACCATCTCAGAGTATCTGTCCACGTTAAAACGGTCTTCTGGCTCCGGAACAGAGCAGGCGGCGGTGATGAACTCTCTGGATGCAGGAGAAGAGAAAGGACAGACGTGAGGGGAGATGCTGGAAAATCCTGGGTCTCCAAGCCAGCCCTTATTTCTTTGGACACCCCTTTAAGGACGGGACTTTTGGGGACCGACATCTTGTGCCTCCCACCCTCACGCCACTTTGCCAAAAAAGCTGGCACTTCCGCCTGCTTTTGTGAACCATCCATTGCGATGCAGTCCAACCTGAACTTGAGGTGGGTCTCCTCCAGATACTGGTTGACCACCCTGAGGTGGGCATTCTCCCCTTCAAAGAGCTGGCCAGCGGCCGCCTGCTGCAGGATCTTGGCCACGGAGCCCAGGTTGCGCCGGTGGTCCGGATGGAGGGCCACGCCGGCCGAGAGGTCCACGATATCGAAGCCATCGGGGGCCACCACCGCCGGGTTCATGAAGCGGTAGTAGAGCAGGTTCCCAACCACCTGGCGGGGAGGCAGAAAAGGCCACTGAGTACAGAAGGACCTCAGCATTTCCAGGGGGTGAATTCCCACCCTTCCGGCCCCCGTGGATGCTGAAAAACGTGGAAGTATCGAACACTATAAATTGCACAGTCTCTGGATCCCTCTCGTGACCAGTTCTAGTAAACAGACCCTGGCAATACTTCTATAGAGTTGTTTCTGGGATTTTTTTATTTAATGTTTTCAGCCAGTGAATAAGTGGATATTGGTCCCGTGGATAGGGCAGTCCTAGTGTATTTTAACTAAAGGCCTTCCAGATTCAGAGCCTGGGGGTCCAGCTCTTCATCCTGCAGATCAAGCCCACCACTCACCTTGTCAATGTCTCCCTGGGCGGTCTGTGGGAACTTCTCCGTTAAGGACGTCTTCAAGACTTTAGCGATGTAACGCATCCCATAACTGGCAGAGGAGATGAGGTTTCCGAATCAACATACCTTTTGCGCCCGTTTATTTGTTACTTTGTGGGCAGATGGGGGGAAAGAAACACAACTTTGCGGCAGCAAAATTGCCTCTAATGAACAAGTCGCCGCGTGGATTCCTAATGGTGGGCCGAGAACCTTGACTGGCTCAGGATGAAGAATCACAGAGGGGATTTTGTTCACTAGTGGCAATTTGCTGCTACCCTTCCCCCCCGAAAATAAGCCCTAGTGTGATTTTCCAGGATGCTCGTCATAGAACCCCTACCCCCCCAAAATAAGCCCCAGTTAAGAGAAACCTCGCCTTCCACTCTTGTGCAGCAATACCTAAATATTAGCTGTTTATTTAAAACTCCATTTAATTGACTGAAATGCTACAGGAGCAAGAGTGGCGACCAAACAAAGGAAATTTGGGAAAAAAAGAAAGCGAAGGGAGAACCACTTCCTACGGGAGTTTGTCGACAGAGGAGATGATGGCCGAGAGGAACTTGTCCGTCACTGTCAGGAGGTTGCGGATGGAGATGTCCAGCCTCCGCTGGACCTCGGGGTGACCGAGGGCTTGCTCGGGGGTGACGTCGTAGGGGAGGGGGCTGCCGGGAGGAGAAAGGACATTTTATTCATTCTGAGATTCATCCCCCCCCCAAAAAAGAAGGGGTGCAGAGTGGAAACACCCCTTCGCAGCCCTTCCCTCATCAGAAAGGCTCTTTTCCCCACCCACTTGTCTCCTTACTCATGAGTAGATTGCAAAAATCTCCCCCCACACACACCAGTGCTCTAAAAACTTCCTTTATTTTATTTTTTAAAACCATGGCAGTTGGGCTGCTGCTCTTATGTGCAAGAGACTGCATAGCCTGGAAAATGTACTACAAATCCCATTGGCTATGCTGACCAGGGGGTTTCAGGATTTGTAGTCCAATGGGACAATTCGTCTCGCTTCTTTACCTGAGCCCCTTCCTTATTTGGAGGACTCGAGGAAACCCTTCGTAACTCCCTTTTGCAAATGCTCCTCTGACTTTTGTGACCAGGTTACTTTTCAAAATAAAATACTTAAAATATTAAAAGAAAAGAAAATGTGTATTTCTGTGATGTTATTACCAGAACCAGCCACTAGAGGGGGGCATAGAGCATGCTATGTATAGGAGTTGCTATTATCCGCAGTTTTCTGCATCCAGAGGCAGACTGGCTATTCATCCCCTACGGATACGGAGGATCCTACTGTATATAAGCTGGGCCAGTCTGAATTACAGAACTGCAGAGTTAGAATGTTCCTAAAGGTCATCTAGTCCATCCCCCATCAGTGGTGAATTTGAACTTGGCCACCCTGTGACCCTCTTCCCCTGACCTTTTCTGCCCTGTCTGGGACTCGGTCTGGTTGATCCACCCTCGGTAGATCTCCACGGGGCACGTGCGGATGCTCAGGGTCTTGTTCTGGAGAACCTCCTGGACGGGACCCCCCAGGATTTCACGCAAGGCGTTCTGCCCCCGGGCGTTGCGGTAGAAGCTCACAACCATCCGGATGACCGTCGGGTTCCCCGTCAGGATGTCACGGATCCGGGTGACTCTGGAGCTGAACAGGCAAGAAAAAAAAGGAGAGAAAAGGTGAAAGAAGAAGAAAAAATCGGCACCGCAGAGACACAGGTCAGATGTTCAAACCTGTGCCGAGCTTTCTGGGAGCGTCACAACAGCACACTCCGTTCCGTTGCCAAGCTTACAAAAAGGTTGGACTTCCTTATTCCAGACCAGTCTATCTGTGGACTACAACTCCCAGCCAGGTGGGGATTTTGGGCACTGGCCTTCCAAAAATAAAAAAGTGCTTTTCCAGGCTCGGGAAGGTAAGTGCCCCAAGTTCTCCTGTAGGTATGCAGCTTCATTTGCCGAGGTTTGGCAGTGCTCCTCACCCAAACCGTGTGCGCTGCCGGCAGATCACGGAGTGGGTGACCAGCTGGGAAGGAGGCCAGGAAAGAAGAGAGTCTCGCCCAGAGGCACAGCAGACACCCCCTCCTTCCTTGGAAGGGGGAGAGCCACCCCCCCGTGACATCCTCGCAGGCCAACTAAGCGAAACCGTCCCACCACAAAGGACCCACGAAGGCCAGCTGGGATTGGGGCCGTGCAAGGAGACCCCTCTGCCCCTCGGGACTCACTGGACTTCTTCTTGGAGGGCCGCCCTGAAGAGCCGGAGCAGAAGGCAAGCCTCCCGGGAGTTCGAGGCGTAGTTGTAGAGGGAAAACACCACCGACTCCATGAACCTGGTGGACTTGTTCTGAGGCATTTGTAAGACCAGGCGGGCCAAATACACCGGGTGGGTCTAAGAGAGAGAGTGGGTGAAGAAAGAGAGACAGCAAAATGGTCATTCTGCATTTTAACCCATGCTTTTCATATTCCTGGTCTTAATCGGCCGATTCTGAGCCTCATGCACTCAGGGATTTGATCCCGAGAAGGCCAGCCCTCGTCCCTCTCCTTTCAAGAATTATTTTCTCTGCTGTACTTCGAGGGTCTTCCTCGGGGGGACCCTCCCCAAAAACAAAACAGAGAAGAAACAGCGGAATCGTCCTGAAGAGAAGGAAGGACCGGAACTGCCAAGGAGCCCAGGGGTGGGTTTTCCAAGCAAGGGGGGGGCTCGCGGGCCAAAGATGACGCCGACGGACCTGCAGATGGTAGAAAAGGTGCTGATACGCCTCCAGGGTCTTCCGCTTCTCCTGGCTGAGGGCCTTCAGCCCCTGGTCCTTGCTGGGGCCCATCAGGTCCGAGAGCTGCTCCTTGTTCTTCCTGGTGAGCTTCTTGCAATGAGAAACCACCTCCTGTCTCGGAAAAGGAGGGGAAACTGCCTTAAGGAAGGACAGGCAGACGGACGGACGGACGGGCCACCTTCTCCAGGCTCAGCCTCCCCTCCCACCCCGTTTTGCAAAAGCTTGAGAGATTTCAATTAACCTCTCACCAATCAAGGATAAATCCGAATTCCAAACTTATTCCATCCGCTTTTGTGCCAGGATGGGAGAAACTCTGCCCCTCTTTCCCACTTAAAGAAGCAGCTTCCGGCTGTCTCTTTTTGAAATTTTAATTTTTTTTTTTTTGTGGCGGGGCTAAGATCCCATGGTTTCTTCCAACAAATCTCAAGGGAGGTCCGTGAGTCAACATGCCCCATTTCTGGGTCTTTAACTTTGTTTCTTGGGGTGCCTGCTTTCTTAAAAACTGATTTCCATGAACTTGGTGCTCTGAACACTCATTCTTCGAGGGTGAGCATTTAAGACCACAAATATAAATACTGTTGAGAAAAGTCACATCGGAGACCCTTCAAGAGCAGCTCACCCCTTGGTTAAGCGAGATTCTTCCTGCCTCCACACAAGGAAAACCCCTCAAGAGTCTGCTTCTCCAATATCCTGGCTCCTTTGAGATTTCCCCACAAAATCAACCCTCGGTTACCTGGAGGGTGATCCTGTTCTTGACCAGCAGCCCAATTTTGATGTCCATGAGATTGAGGTCGCTTTCCAGCTGCCGGTTGGACCGGATCCCTTTCACCACGCTCTCTTGGAGCGCCAGCAACTCCAGTTCCTCCCAGTAATCCCGCTGGCTCTGTTCCAGCAGGTGCGCAAAACGCCGGACGATGCCGAGGGGTGGGTTCTGGCTGTGGACTGGCATCGAAAGAGAGAGAGAGGTCAGAATCGTTACCTTGAACTCTGCACTGGTTCCCCAACCTTGACCAAACTAAAATTTCTTGGACTACAACTCCCAGAAGCCTTCGCCCCTCGCTGGGCTGGCCAGGGATTCATGGGAATTGTAGTCCAAGAACCTCTGGGGACCCAATGTCTACTCACTCGCAAGAGGAAACTAAAGGAAAATGGCTGGGCCAGAATCCACCGAGAGGTCCAGCTCTTACCCGCTGTGGCTTGAATAAAGGGCAAGACCTTTTTATTGCATGAGGTGTGTTCCATCTTTCCCACAATGCACAAAGGTGCACATTTTGTGTTTGTTAAGGGCTCCTTTTGAACACCACACCGGCCACTACTGGATTTCTTCCAGAGACTAAACTCTCTTTCCTAGGCTTGGATCAGACTGCCCCCCCCCCCATCAAGGGTCTTGAGCCCTATATAGCTGGCTCAAAACCCTTGTTTTTAAATAAACCCTGCTTATCCTTCCCAAGTCCGTTCAGGGCTGAACCTTTCAGAGGTCAGAAACTCACGGGGTTGCCAGGATTGTGCCGTGACTTGAGCGCACCCAACAAACCTTCAAGAGCCACAAGACTCTGTCAATTTCGTGGCAATGCATTCATCGACATGGCCACCCTTCGGAAGCCTTCCTCTCTGTCCCCGACTGGGTCGCCCTCTCTGGACACCTCTTGCTTTTAATTATTAAACCGTACTTTAAATAGCATATCGTTTAGCTGTTTTTTTTAAATGTTTAACTTATTATGTTTTAAACGGAATTCCTATTTAGCTGTTTTTTTAAAATGTTTAACTTACTATGTTCTAAACGGAATTCCTTTTAAATACTGTGAGCCACCTTGAGTCCCCTTATCCGGAGAAAGGTGGCTTATGAAGAAAAGAAACAAACTAGAGGAGATCCAGCAATGACCGGCAACATGTTTAGAAGGCAAAGCAGACCGGCCAACATGGAGAAAGGTGGCTTACGAAGAAAAGAAACTAGAGGAGATCCGGCAATGACCGGCAATGTGTTTAGAAGGCAAAGCAGACCGGCCAACAGTCTCTGGACCCCCCCCACCCACTCACTCACCAAAAGACGGGCACTTACCCAACATCCTGTAATCACCTCGTGCTTTATTCGCCCGTACAAACGCCTGGATTTTAATCACAGCCCATACCTGCCACGAGGGACACACACACCAAACAGAAGCCGGTCTAAATCCACACCATTGCAGAGGAACATGTAGAGTGGGAAGGGATCCTGAAGGTCATCTAGCCCACCCTAGAGGAACATGTAGAGTGGGAAGGTCATCTAGCCCACCCCACTGCCAATGCAGGAAAGGCCGACTTCTTCCAGGGAGCGCGAGTCCCGGTCTACTCCCTCTGGGTGGCACAGGCCAGCCCTTGTCAGGAAACCCGGGACGTCCCCTGCCGTGCTGGGGGTAAGCCTGGGCCTCCTGACCCCTCCGGAGAAGCAACCCTATTCATTCACTTGATGGACAATTAAGAATCCTTAGGATGCACCCTGAGCACTAATAAGCAGGGTTTTACTGCACAACAGGCATCATTCAGAAGCATGATTTTTTTTTTTTAAATTCCCAGTCGCCCGGTTGTGGACAAGAGAAGAGGGACCCTTGCACATCACGTTAATTCCACACTGGAACAATTCTTTTAATTTCACGTTTGCAAAATCTACTGTTTCCCTGTTTGGCAGACAATCCTTCTCCCGCCCCCTTCCAGCGAGGAAACAGCTCAACCCTTCCCACCCCAAAAAAGACCACCGGGGATGCCGAGGATGGCAAAAGGCTCACATTTCTGCGGAAGTAACGCAGCCGCTCCAGGTAACGTTTGCGTGCGAGCCACATCCGAACCCAAGCTTGGATCTGGAGACGGCAGGAAGAGAAGGCAGGTCATTTCATGCCCCGGAACTGGGAAGCAAGGAGACCCAAAGTAAAAGCTTCTATCCAACAGCCCCCCCCCCAAAAAAACCCTCCTACCTTGCGGGCGGCCCCCACGTGCTTCTGGAAGAACCGCAGCCTTTCCAGATAATTCCTCCGTTGCCGATACCCCCTCCAGCAGGCCTGAAAAGACACCGCATAGCAGCTGGTGAGAGGCGGGAGCCGGAAAGTCCTGGTTTCGAATCCTGTCTCCCCTGCTTCATGGCTTGCAGCCATACTGCCCTGCTGTCCAGGCATCCCGTTTCCCAGCATTGTGTTTTTATTAATTTCAGTTTACATCTTTGTTGTTGTTGTTGTTGTTCTTGCAGGAAAGGGACTGGAGGAGGCTCACCATAAAACAGGGCAATTATGTAAGAAATGCAGGGAAGATTTTAAAAGGTTTTAAGACATTAATTGGGGGGGAGGGAACCCACTAAGAGAAAAAACCCAGTTTAAAGTCAATTCTGCTGTTGTTCCTTAAACAAAAATGGATTTGCCCCACTCTGGGAAGTACCCAGGAATAGCAGGTTTTGTATAAAATCGATTAGGGGGGCTGGGTTCCAAACCCAAACAGCTCACAGCTTCCAAAATCACAGCTAGAACTGGCTGCTGTCTTCACTACCAATGTTTTCTTTTAAACTTTGCATTTAAAACCCCTCCTTTTTTTTGCATCTTAAAAACCCTTTTTTTCAAGAGCTAACCAGCTACCAAATGCTGATGTGAGCACACTTCCATATTGCACAAAGAGAAAGAGAGAAAAGGACTTGCTTCATATGTACCGTAAAGGCGAGATTTGAACACAGGGCCTCCCAATACGTTGAGCAGGGAAGAACGGGTTGGGCGGCTCCCTCGTACCTGGATTTTTGTAGCCGCCGGCACCTGTTCGGACAGTAAGTGCCTCCGGGCTGCAAACCCCTGTCGGACGAGGAAGCCCCTCATCCGGGCTTGGAGCCGAATCACCAACGGGACGCTGGACTCCCAGAGGCGCCTCCGGTCGTGGGCAGCCGTCACCCTCCCGATGGTGGCCTGCAAGGTCAAGGACGGGCACAGTCCAAGATGGGGGCAATCCAGGAGAAAGCCCAAGAAAGAAAGGGAGGGGGCAACCAAGATGGGGACATTCCCAAGCCTTGGCAATACACTGCACTCCTTGTTTCAAGCGTCGCTCTGTGTATACCCTTAATTCGGATGCTTGAGAATAAAGATCTGTTTGCACGGCACAATGAGACCCTGCTGGTTCCATTTTCATGCCTCCAACCTATAGAAACCTGGGGTTTTTAGTTCAAGAAGGGGCTTTGAATCCAAATTGAATACTCTTTGCGGGAGAGAACATGAACAATGAGGTGCCAAGACGTTTCCTAATTTCTGGAAGTACACCCCGTTGGAGGTTTAGACCATCAGGAAGCTGATGAGCACAAAAATCACAACCAAAAACAACAATGTGTGTTACTTGAAGGCCAGCTGACTGCCTAGAATGCTCTTCCCCGTAACATGTTGTGTTCATTTATTTATTCAAAATATTTTTTACTCTGCCTTTCTCTTTAAGAAGGACCCCAGGTGGCTTCCTTTATTAAAAGATAATATTTAAAAACAGTGAGTCTACAAATACAAAAAAGGATCAAACAGATGCCCGCCTGAAGAGAAAGGCCTTTGCCTGCTTGCAGAAGGATGGCCAAGAAGGGGCCGGCCAAGAAGGGGCCGGCCTGGACTCCAGTGGGAGGAAGTTCCAGAGTCTAACGGCAGCCACAGAGAAGACCCGTCTCCCCAGCAAATGCACCTGGGAGGAGGACAGGACCAAGAGAAAAACACGTCGTGTTGATTCTAACACTCAGGCAGGCTCCTAAAGGGAGACTCGCTCCTCGGGATAGCTTCAACCCCCAAGTCCCGGCCCCTGCCTTTCCACAACGCCAGACGCAGCCAAGCTCCAGGTGGCCGCCCCGTACCTGGATCTCCTCCCGGCTGAGATGCGTCGTGTTGAGGGCGCAGGGCCGAGGCGGCTCCCACGAGCCCTCGAAGGTCTGCAGGCTGAAGTAATATGCCATCCCGTCCTTCAAGCGGTGTTGCACCCAGGGCTTTTTCGAATTCTCTGGGGGGAAAAAAACCAAATAAACCAAAGCAAAAACTCAGAGGGCATTGACATCTGGCTTTAAATCTAGTTTTGAAATTCCTGGAGGATGGGATAGCAGGAAAGTGGCCGGTGGGGGGGAGGGAGGAGAGTGGAAAGGAGGTCGGGAACCGGAAGATCAAAATAGGGACATGCCTCTCTTTGCCTTACCTGTTTTGCTCCTGGTGGCCAAGAGGGCCCTCAGCTGCGCCTGGTAGCCCTCGGCACACTCGGCCACCACGCCGCAGAGAGACACGTCCGGATTGCGCAGGACCCGGGCCGTCTGCGCCGCATTCCCTTCCTTGATGGCCTGGTTGATGGCCGCCACGCCTAAGGCCACTGCAAGGCAGGGTTAAACCGTGAGACGTGGTTGGATCCAGTTTATTCGCTGACACACTTCGTTGAATAATAAGCAGCATGGAATAAGACACTATAACATGTGAAATTTACAGGAGGACCGTGGGGGGATTGGTCCCAAACTCCCCCTGCTCCGCGGATACCAAAACATGTGGAAGCATCGAACACTCCCCTTTGCATGGTCCGTTGTCCCCTCTGGTGTCCTGTTCTGGGAAATACATATTAATATGTACTTCTGGAGTTTTTAATTCAGTATTTTCAGCCAGTGGATAAGTGAATAAGCAGATACTGATTCCGTGGATATGGGCTTCCTACTGTATTTTTTTTCCTAGCTCCAACCACTCTTCCTTAGGTTGCATTTTCTTCCACTTCGGTGCCACTTCTGTTGGGAATTGCACCCCCTAAGTGGGTGGCCAACAGAACTGGCCCATGGGTCAGAATCTTGTCCTAGAGCTCTCACCCCTCAGCCCCCCCTTATCGCTTTGTGGAGTTTGTTGGAAAGATTCTGTTCAGCAGCAGAAAAACAAAAACAAAAACCAGCCCCAGGCCGAAACGCCCGTACTTCTCATGGCGGCTTCAGTGTCTCGGTTGGCCTCGGAGACGCCATCCACGATCTCTTCCCACCACAAGGCAGCGCCGGCCTCCCCCGTCACCTGGAACAGAGAAAATCGGAAGGTGCCTCTACCGCGATGCCCTGCAAGGCGTTCCCCACCACCCCCGCGGCCAAAACCCTTTCCAGAAAAGAGGCCCTGACACCTCCAGGCTCGCTTTGGGAGTCTGTTCTGCCTGGTTGCAAAACCTCCGTAACTGCTGGAAGCGTTTAAACTTGTCCTTTCTTGGGTCCTTCCCAAAAGCATCATCACCTCCGCCGCCACCTCTCGGGAAAAGCCAATCTAAAACTGGACCAAGCTTCAGCAGGAGGTAGCCCCCCACACAGGGTAAATTGTTTGGATAACTATTCTAGTTGCCACGAGGCTCTTACTGTATTTTGTCTTTGAATTTTTGTGTATTTGTCATTCGGCAGCGCCTCTTTGGCCTCTTGCTGTGAACTGCCCAGGACAGGGCGTCGCACTAATTGGGGAGGCCTCTCCATCAATCAAAGAAATAAATGAACAGCGATTCTCTTGGGTGGGCCAGCCACTGGTTCCTCCCCCAAAATAGGTTCGGGAAAGGAAGAGCCCTTCTTAGCTCTACAATTTGCAAATCCTTTTTATATATTTAAAAAAAAACTTCATCTTTTTTAAAAAATTGTGCTGTATATGGGTTTTCTCTTCCTCCCTACATTAGCCTCACAACGATGGTAGGCCGGTTGAGAAAGAGAAGGTTAAAAATCATGCACGGAGTCTCACAGCGGCACTTCTGCATGCTCTAACCACTACTTCCTGTTGCCTCCTCTTCCTTACCTGGGCTTTCTGCCTCAACCTCCGGGCCAAAACCTCGTGGTAGCGTTTAGCCACCGGCAGCCTCACGTCCTGGAGGCCGGCAGAAGGCAGCATCAGGGCCGTGAGGGTCCTCTCTGGGCTCCCTCGCTCCAAGGCCTCATTAATTAACCGGACCGCCAGGATTTCTGTCAGAAAGAGAGATAAGCCAGAAGAGGACGCAGAAGCAGAAAGAGCCGGATCCTGAACTACCGTCAGAGCCCCGGATCTGTCGGGGAAACCAGTTCCAAGCAGGTGCTAAAAAACACAGAATGCTATTTTATAGCATGGTCTCTGGATCCTTCCAGTAGCCAATTTAGGTAACTTCATTCCACTCTTTCCCCAAAAATAAGACCTAACCTTAAAATAAGCCCTAGTATGATTTTTCAGGATGCTCCTAATATAAGCCCTACCCCCCAAAATAAGCCCCAGTGAGGTGAAACTCTGCCCTCCCTGCATTTTCTGGAGCAAAAAATAATATAAGACCCTATCTTATTTTCGGGGAAACACAGTATTAAAACATATATTTCAGGGGATTCTTCTTTTAATATTTTTAAACTTCTCAGACAGTGGAGAAGTGAATCCGTGGATACTGATCCCGTGGATAAGGGTGTCCTTATTTCTGGAAAAATCCTAGAAATATATATTTTTATAGATGACGTTATCAGAACTGGTCGTTAGAGGAAGCCAGAGACTGTGCTACACATAACATTCACTATTAAAATGGTGTTTGCGATCATCCACAGTTTTCTAGCATCCACCGGGGGGGGGGGCTTGCCATGCTATACATAACATTCACTATTAAAATAGCGTTCATGATCATCCACAGTTTTCCAGCATCCACCGGGGGGGGGCTTGGAACGGATCTTAATCCCCCCCCCCCGATATGGGGACCCTACTGTATATGGCCAACTATTTGGTTATTCGTTCACTCCTGGGTTTCTATCCCATTTCCCTCCCAAACTAGGACTCGAACCCGTCTAAAGACCAGGGAAAAAACCCCACACAAATAAAAAGGAAGTTTAAACAAACCATAATCTTAAAACAGAACCAATTTGAAAACTCACAGCTCCCAACTCTCAGGGAGAAAGCTGTGACAGGCTCGTGGGTCACCTGGAACCATGCTGTGCGCCCAAGTGATAACAGACTTTTTTCCCCCCCAAAGGCTAAGAGTTTGTATTTTTCAGTAACCTGTTGACTTACTCTCCTTTTCCTCCTGGACGGAAAGATTTGCCCTCCTCACAGAAGCCTGGATGTCGTTCCAGCTCAAGAAGTGGCTTCCGGAGCCAGGAGGCGGCTTCGACTTCTCTTTCAACAACTCCTCAAAATAACTGAGAAAGCAGAAAGCAGAGGGTTCAACGGTCGGATCCACTTCATAGCTATTCGCAATGTGGAACCTATTCTGTGGGCACATTCGCCACTTTGGATACCTCCCAGAAAGTTCGGATGAAAAACCGGAGTGGAGTTTCACATGCAAACACACATAACACTGTAAAATCAGCTTTATGGATGTGTCCTATCCCCAGATATACAAAACAGAGTTTTTCTTTATGCTTCAGTTTTAAGGGAATTCCTGAAGACCTAGCATAGGATATACGGCAGTCTGGGCTCCCTCTTCTCCAAAGGAAACCGGTCTCTCAGTCTCACCACCTGCAAAAGATCCTGGCCTGCGGAACTCCCTGCTCAGGGAAACAAGACTGATCCCCCCTCCCAGAGTTTTTCAGCTGGCAAAGACCTTTTTATTCAGCCAGAATTTGGGCACTTAAGCTGCAGAGGTTTTTACTTTTCAACTAGTTGATGGCATTGGTTCTTTTGTGTTTGTATGTTTTAGTTTATTTGGAAGTTTCCACTTTACTGTTTTCCCCCCTATTTTTAAGCCCTTTCTGGGTGGGAGTTTAGATACACAGTAGGACCCACAGATCCGTGGGACCGCTGTCCAGTTTCGATGAATAGATTAAAAATGAATATCTATTAAAGTCTGAATATATTAAATATATATTTAAAATATTAAAAGAAAAAATTACATAAATATGTATTTGCACCATGTATTACTGGAACTGGCCACGAGAGGGAGCCAGAGACTATTCTATGCAGTATGCTTATTGTTGGCGAATACACAACATGGTATCTGGCTCCCTCTGGTGATTAGTTCTGGTAATACATGATGAAAATACGTATTAGTGGATTTTTATAAAACCATGCTATGAATACTGTTTGCTATTATCCATAGTTTTCAACATCCACGTGAAGCCTGGTAACAAATGCCCTGGGGATGGGAGAGGGTTTTTACTGTACATTATAAATAAATAAATAGCGTATTAAATTTAATACCCAGAAAGGGAGAGGAGGGAACAACTTTGGGTTGTGCCAGACTGTGCTTCCCAGTTCTAGCACTCCAAAACTCAACCTGCGATTCCCAGCAACAGATCCACAAGGGGTGGTCTTGAAGATCAAACACACCTACTAACTCTGCTAGTATAAGAGAAGAGAAGAGAAGTGAGGAGAAGAAAGTGAGTGAGAGAGAGAGAGACCAGGCTCTCGCTTACCACTGGGCGTTGCTCTCTTCCAGATCAGACAGGCCCAAACTGGGGCTGGCAAGACTCCTCCAGAAGCTGCGGGCATCTCTGTCTTCCAGGGCTTGGTTGACCAGAGCCACTGCGGACAGCATCTCGACAGCCACAAACAGCTCCTCCTGGACCAGCGCACCCTGGCAGAGAGGAAACAAGGGCGGGGGGAGGAACGTCCTTGCAAATAACGGCAATAGCGTGGTGGACTTTCTTTCTTTGACACCTTTGGGGGTTTGCTCAAAATTGTCTCTGAAGACAGAGTTCAGGGACCTTCAGGCTCCAACCATAGCACGAGAGCTGGAAGTCCCACCCGAAGCCCTTGTGGGGAGGGCCAGGAGAGCCAAAGCTCGCTAGATCTGCCGGAACAGCCAAGATCCCGCCAAGCAAGAGAACTTGCGCCGTCCATCTATTCGCCCACCTGTGGATGATGACGCTGGAGGACAGAAAGTTCTCGCTGGTAGAGGCTGGCAGCAAAGAAGAAAACCTCGGGCAACTGGGCGACCGGGTCGGCCAGAGCCCGCACGATCTCCTCTGCAGCCCCTCTCCGAATGGCAGCATTGATGCGCCTCACAGCCTCTGCAGCTGCGCATGGGGGAGGAAAGCAGGCTGTTGTTTGGGTTCTCACTAAAAGCAGGGCTTGGAACGGCCCAGAATAGGAATGAGGGAGGATATCAAAGTGTCCGGGCTCAGAATTTCATCCCTCCCGCCTCATCCCAGGCACAGAAGGATCCCATACACCCTGAAACAAGGGCTTCATGGGAACCATTATCCTAAGCATAAGGAGCATCTCTGCTCACCAGCTCGTTCTTGGTCGCCTCTCTCATTGGCCACGTAAAGGCCAGCCTGGATTTCCTCTCGCTCCAGCATATCCACATAGCCCAGCTCCTGGGAAAGGGCAGGGCAAAGAGAGGTTTCAAATCAGTCTGGAATTATATGTTTGGATGAGCTTGGCATGCATCAAGATATACTACATTCTGAGCATGCCCCTGATCTACTAAGCTTGCAGCCCATCAAAAAAGAAGAAGAAGAAGAGAGAGAGAAAAAGGCAAAATAACATTCAACCAGCAAAGTTTGCTTTTGAGAAATCCATGCTATCCCTTTGGGATTCTCATGGAAGTTAGCAGGTCCAGCTCTTCCCCCCCCCCCCGAACTGTCCCCCATCCGTACTTACCAGGGCTTTCTGCTCCCGATCTGTGCTTAGTTGCTCCAGATACCAGTCTGCATTCTCCAGACGCAGGTTCCTCAGAGCCAAAGAAGGAGACTGCAAAGCAGAATACAGGCCCTGGGCGTCCTGTTCTTCCAGAGCGTCATCCGCCATCTCCAGAGCAGCTTTTACTGTGCGGGTGTGGTTTTCAAAAATAAAAAGCAATCAAACGGGAGGCTTCCCATACCCAGGAGTGAAATTCCCTCTCGCCAGGCTGTGTCCCCAGAGGCTTAGGCCCTGGTGTTCTGGGTTTACAGCTGGAAACACCCTGGCAAACAGCTGCCAGCTAAATGGGCAAGCAGCAATGTGAGGCACTCATTACAGCAAAGATAGACAACTCCAGAAGCGGGTTTTTATGGGAAGAGATGGAAAGATTATTAGGGTGGAAAAGCCAAAGACTGAAGACACAGCCATAGAATGTTTGATTTGCTATCCAGGATGATTAAGAGAAGGGCATGATACCTGATATTCAGGAAATTAGGGAAAACAGGATTATCCAAAGTGGCCTTCAGTAACTTAATCCTTAGATACTGTTAATACCTGAAAAACTGTTACTAAAACCCTTTGAAAAATGTCTTACACCACCTTTAAAAAGTAACATTTGAGAGTAACCAAATGTTGCCCATTGCAACTCAGTAACTTAGGTATTGCTCATTATCCCTGAAAGGCAATTTTGTAACTCTTTGCTACACTTTGTTCTCAAAAACAAAGTAACCATTTCTAGGTAACTGTAACTAGATACTTCCACCCTCTCTTGGAGGTGGACGACCTTCTGGGAAGCTCCCTCTGAATAAACCCTGTTTGTCCTTAAGGGGTGGGGGGCTTTCAGGTGCAGACGGGGCTCCGCATTTGGGTTTGGTGCAATCTGAGGACCCCCACCCAGGATTCGTATAACACCCCCCCCCCGGAAAACATGGACCCGAGGAGAGAGGAGAGCTGCCCTCTTGCTCACCGTTCACTGCGTGGATTTGCCCTTGAATCTCAGCCTGGGTCAAGCGCCGGTCGTAAAGGTCTTCATCGTTGGTCCTTTCCTGGAGGTCCTGCAGGACAGGTGATGGGCAAGAGGGAGCCCAGAAGACTCTCAGAGGGGACACTTCCGAAAGGTGCCTGGCTCTTGATTTAGAGCAGGGCTCTCAGGCCTTTGGGGAACCCCGGGGGGTCTTGAATTACAACTCCCAAAGCCTTCCCCACCAGCTGTGCCAGGACGAGGTTTCTGGGAGGTGCCATCCAGGAGCACCTGGGGTTCCCCCAAAGGTCGGGAATCTCTGGTTTAGAGATGATGGTGCCAGTTGAGAAAGAGGCAAATTCAGAAGGGAATCCCAAAGGTCATCTAGTCCCCCATCTGCACTCACCTCCCCAAACACTGTTGGGAGTCCAAGAGGGGCGGAGAGGATGACACCCCCCCATTTTCCCCAAACTTATCCTGACTCTTCCATACTACTCTTGGCAAGCCCTACTACTCTTACTCGGTTCTTGGCGTTTTGGGCTTTCTCCACCTTGGCCTGGTAGAGGACTTCTTGATAGACCTCGCCAAGGGGCTCCTGGAGGTCGGACAGCCGGGCGTTGGGGTTGCGCAGGGCGGCCATCGTTTGGGCCACATGGCCCACCTCGAGGGCCTGGTTGATGGCCAGGACGGCCGCGTGGACTGAGAAAAAAACCACAACAAGAAGAAGAATCAGGCACCAGAAAGGGGCACCGAATCCCTCTCACCCCCAGTGCGGACAGGGGTGAGCATCCTCCTTGGAACCTGCTCACACCCCCAAGAAGCAGCTCTCCTCTTTATGTGTCTTTAGCGCAGGCAACAACACCACAGCAACACGCATTTTTGGCAGGGGATGGGCAGGATCCGATGGGCCATTGACGTCTGCCCAAGCAAAATGGCTTAAGGAGCAAGAAGAGAATTTTCCCCGGAGGAATGAACTGCTCGTGGCGCTCCTGCGGGTATGGCGCATGCATGACCAGGAACACCTCCAGCACAGCATGGATTTTAGAAGCAACCTCGCTCCAGTGCACACCGTTTCCCCTGATGCACCCCTTAAATAATGAGCACAATTTGGTCCAGCAGGGGAACAAAGAAGGGGGAATCACACAGGAAAATAATAATAATTTTGCAGAACTAATGCAGATCTTTTTTTACATATTAACCACCATCTATCCATGTATAGTGTATTCCCATTCTCTAATCCATGTCAGCTGAATAGTGGGAAACAGCTTGGTTTCATGCCTTTTCAGGCACCGTCTTGGTCAAAGGCCCCTCATGCTCAATATTGAGTGCAGAAGCCAACTGTTTTACCAAACATGAGACAGGAAGCCTATGTTCTCCCTGGCAGCTCTGCTGAGATATACTGCTCCTAAACCTGGAGGTTCCGCTGGCCCTCAGTGAAAAGACCCCCCCCCCCCTCTCCCTGGTAGCTCTGCTGAGATATACCGCTCCTAAACCTGGAGGTTCCACTGGCCCTCAATGAAAAGACCCTCCACAGTGCAACTTTTCTCTTCCACAGAAGCCCACGCCTGGCGTGCCTTACCTGCCGCTTCATCCACTGAGAGCTCATTAGCCAGGATCCCACCAATCTTGCTGAACGAGGGAAGCTGCAGGCCATATTTCTCCAGTTCGCGCTTCATGTGGTTGATTTCCTCATCTGGAGCAGAAGGAAGGAAGGAGAGGAAGACCCCGCTCTCAAGGAGTTTTTTTGGGGGGGGGGAATTAACTCTCAGATCAGAATCATGAACGAAAACTGTAGGTGAGGCATTTGAATCCCCCCCGTGGATACTGAAAATCACGAATAAGAGCAAACGCTATAAATACATAGCATGTTCTCTGGCTCCCTCTAGTGGCCAGTTCTGTTGACAATACTATGGAAATATGCATCTCTGGGATTTTTCTTTTAATATTTTTAGACCACGGATAAGTGGAATAACCATGAATACTGGGGTCCTACTGTACATTCAATGTATGATTGCATATTAGATGCTACGAATTTTGGGATAAGGGGATTCTGGGTTCTGGAGTCAATCGTTCGATATAACCTCTCCCTCCCTTTGGAGTTTTCAGGGAGGTCTTACCTGTGAATTTCACTTTTCCATACAAATCCTGGATCGGGGGCGCCAGGCCGAGTTTAAACAGGTACAAACTAGGAAGAAGAAAAAAATCCACATTTCCTTGTTTATAAAACAGGCTTCTGAAAAATGACGTGCTCAGAGCAAAGGAAGATCCTCTTTCTGGAGCCCAAATCCCAGAATCTCCAGGAAGCTATGGTCTAGAAAGAAAGAAAGTCTCTTTGAAACAGTGCAAATGACTGTGGCAGGGAGTTCCCCGGTTCCGCCACCAGCTGTGCAAATAAGCACAGCGAGAAACCACTTGATTTCCCCACTAAAAAGGCAGGAAATCATACATTGGTGCCTCACAAGATGAATGTAATTCATTTGGTGGTTAATGTTGTCTTGCGAAAAATTCATTTTGTTAAACACGTTTTACCATAGGAATGCAATGAAATCTAATTAATGTTTTCCTATGGGCGAAAAAAGTCAGAACAAAGTCAAATTTTGTTTACAAAGGGTTTATTAAGTGCTCTTTAAAGCCATACATATTGTGCAAATGATTTCAAAAATTTCAATTAAAAAACTTTAACTTTTAAAACATCATCGAAAAACATTTAAAAATCAGCAAACGTGAGGCAAGAGCAAAAAATGGAAAACATTTGTCTTGCGAAGCATGGCCATAGGAACATTTGTCTTGCAAGTCATCAACCCTATTCCCAAAACCATTTGTCTTGTGATTTTTTTGTCCTGTGAGGCATTTGTCTTGCGAGACACCACTGTATTTTCAAAGAATGCACACCCGCTCTCCCCTCAGTCCTGGCTCACCTCAGCGCATGGATGCAGTACACCACGCGCGGCATGTTCTTCTTGTCATAGATGTCGGTGGTCTCAGGGTGAAAGATCTGTCAGGGAGAGGAGGGTCAAGGAGACCAGAGGCAAACGGGAAAAAAAACACCGGGTGGAACGAGGTGAGGGGACGGCGGCCTTACCGTCGGCAGTCCGATGTGGCTCATGGCATTTCGCCACCGGTTGATGTTGTCAGTGTGGCGGAAGTGCAGCCCACATGCCTTGGGGATGAGAGGAAGGAGAAAAGGATCCGTCAAGGCGGTGTTTCACCCCCTACAAGGCTGAGCACGAGACGTCTCTCCCTGCTTTCTCTCCAACACGGGAGGAGTGGAGAGAGGCAGGATTGGACCCCAAGTCTTGAAGGGGGCACCCCCTAGGCTAGAGAGGTGCAGGAATGGGGGAAAGGAAGGAAAACAGTGGGGTTTGGGGAAACCAACGACCCCAATCCTTTCCAGGTCCATTTGGAGACACAAAGAAATAAGGAAGGAAAAGGACCCTATCCTGATTGGGGGGGAGAGAGAGAAAGGGAAGCACTGTGGCTTAGAAGAGGGGAAAAATGGGGCTGGAATCAGAGCTACCAAGGCCATCTCCCTACAGCAGAGCCTGGACCAAATTGGGCTCACCCTCGGTCCTCCAGGCCCAGAGGTGGAAAGGCTCCAGGGCTGTTTTTGCATAAATATTTTCACAGATGGGGAATAAATGCAAAACCGAAGGACGGAGAATGAAAGGACTTAGAAAGGCCAGAAAGGGATGGGGTGCCTAAACCAGCCAGGCTGTTCCCCCACCTGGAGGCTTCATCCAAAAGACAGGCAAGGTATCGTTGCCTTCAGTTTTCACCTTTGAAGTGGGTTTCTGCACTTTGTCAAAGCTTTTGCTGACTAAAACTTGGCAAGCTTTAAGGTACCACAGGATTCTTCATGCAACACAATAATGGGAGGGGGGCAGAGAGAAACATCTGCACAGCGGCGGCTTCCAACAGACGCTTCCATCCTGGTCACTTGCCTTGAAACGGGCCTGATCCAGGTCATAGATTTTTCCCAAGGGACAGACGTCGGGGGCAAAGAAATGCCCCAGTTTGGCCAAGATGACGCCGTTCCTCAGACTCTCCTCCAGCTCGGTCGGGGCGGACAGGGGCTCTCGTAGGCAGGCCTCCATCCAGCTAGACAGGCAGAGATACAACAGGAAGAGTGGCTTTTCTCCCGAGGTGCTGTGGGTCCTAGGAAACCCTTCAAAGGAGCGACAGAACCACCCTCTCCAAAGCAGATAGACTGCCCTGACACACTGGCTCTCTACATTTCCCCAGGCCTCAGAAAAGCTCCTTTCGGAAGCAGTAACTATGGGGCTATAAGAAGGTAAACAATTTAAACTTATTCTCCTTTTCTTCTTAGATTAATTTGCCTAAGCCTCTTTTCCAGACTATCCAAGCCAGGGACTGAAACCAGGGCACCAAGTGGCAGTGAGTTCCGCTGACTCAGCATGCACGCAACCGCAAGAAAGAGAAGAAACTGTGGCGAAGCTGGGAAAAGTTACTTTACAGGGCTCGAGGAGAGTAGACCTATCGAATAAGAACTTTATAAGTCAAAAAGCATGTGAGTCCCATTGATAGAACAGTTACATGTTATGTTGAGCTAAAAATTAGATTTGGGGGCAGAACTAACATCCCCATAATCCCCATGGCTGCCCAAAACAGGGGAGCATGGGACTCCATATACACCAAGCCCTGATGCCCTAATAGCAAACCTACCGCTTGGCCTCTTCAAGATGACAAAGATATTGGTAGGCAACGTTCTGGCGTCTTTTCTCATCCATTTCATCTGCCGTAAGGCGCTCATCTTGGAAAAACAAGAGGGAAAAAAACATTTGATATACACAAGGCAAGCGTCTGCAGAACACCAGAGATAAAAACGCAGGACCCATGATTTGAAGCCTCCTTTTATCCACTTACAATTGAACTCGTGTTGCATTTCAAAACAGATCAAGTTAACGGTTCACGAGGGCCACCCCAGGACTTCCCACCAACAAGGAAAAACCTTCTGGCTCAGGCAGACCTTCAAGATCTCAAGAAGAGCCACTTTTAAGCATTTTTCTGGTGTTAACTCTAACGATGTGAACAGAGAGGCTTCTAAACAGTTTCAAATTGCATCCCCTTCCAAGCGGGCAACCGATTTAATCCTGTGTTTATGGACGCCTTGTTTTTATGTTCTGTTAATTATACGGCCCCAGTTTCTGGGAGACAGGTGAGATACAAACGCAGCTCGCATGGTGACATGGAGGAAATAAATCAGGAGATGTATCCTGGATTTTGAATTCAGCTTAAAATCAGTTGGTTTGGGTGTCGGCCTGCGTATCCTGCCAGGAACACTTCTTTAAGATGTGTTGTATACACATAATTTTAACATCACTGCCTTGGGGGGCTTCATCCTGCACTCTCTCTCTCCCCCCCCCCGCCCTCATGCTAGCAGCCTCTCATGGCCACGAGGCGCTGCTGCGGTTTTTAATAGTTTTGAATGTCTTTAATTAAATTCTTGCAATCTGGAATAGCGCCAGCACAGAATGACAGATTGGGGGGTGGAGAAGATGAAAACACAGGTTTCCTTGCAGCTCAACACATGCACAGATGGGGTAGACTTGGGGAGGGTGCTAGATAGCCAGGCTGAAACTGACCGGAGACATTGACAAACTTGCTAAAGAGGGACACAAACACACACACACACAGAGGGGAGGGGGGAATGAAACTGACCAGAGGCATTTTGACAACAAGGACTAGGTTTGTGAAGGAGGGAGACACAGAGCAGAGGGTCAGGCTGGCCAGAGATATTGACTAGGTTTATGACAGGGTTGGTGGAGAGAGAGAGAGAGGATGTGGAAGGCACACCGGGGAGTGGTAAACCCCACAGACACAATTTAAACCAATAGAGGAGCTAACATATGCCAAAATTATTTGACATCCTTGTTAAAATAAAGGGCAGAAAAATAAAATGTCTCCATTTGGATTGAAACAACACACTCCCCTTTCAAAACAATCTGCACTTCCATGTCCCTCCTGTAGTCACCTTTTAAAAAAATCGATTTAAAACATGCTAAACCTGATTCAAATTCAGAGGGGTTTTCCCTACTCCCCAAGTCTAACCAGGCTAAAATATATATACTATTTTTTTTAAAGGAGGCTATTTCTGAGAGAAAGGAAGGATGGACACTGAATCAGGCAAGCCAGAAATGGAGAGAGGAACGAAAGCGTTTTTCAAGCCAGGGTCTCCTGGAGAACCGTGCCCCCAGGGAGGGGCCTGATCCGCAGGCTTCCCGGAGAGAGGGAGGGAAGGAGCCAGCATAGAGCTGGGGAAAAACAGAAGTGGGGCCGTTTCAGGCCCAGGAGAGGATGATTCATCCCCGCCCGGCGGCGGTTTCCCGGCCTCAGCCGCAGCCAAGGCTCCCTCCCTCCTCAACGTTTCCTTCTCTGGAGAAGATGTAAACAGGTCCCCGGGCGGCAGGGCGGATCCGCCCCACCTTTCGGCTCGACTCCCGCAAGAGGAAAGGGGAGGAAAAGGGCAACAAAGAACCCCTTTCACCGCTTTTTTCCTTCCGGGAAAGGACGGGGCAGCCTCGGCGGTGGCGGCCACCGTTTCCCGCAAGGGCCGAAGCGGGGCGTCCTCAAGAAAGACCCCCGAAGCCTCTGGGCAGCCACGAGGGTCGCCTTCCGGGGGGGGGGCAGATTTTTGGCTAACAGAAGCGGGGAAAAAAAGGCTCCCCTCCCTTTGGCTTTGGGGCTGGAGAAAAAGGGAAACCCGGATTCCCTCCCGGGGGGGCGGTTTCGAAAGCAGGAGCCTCGAGAGCCCCTTTCGGACCGTCCAGCGAAGAGAAGACGCAAGCATTTTAATTGGGATGATTTATTTCAGAGCGAGCAGAAGCGCTCGGCTGCAGGCTGAGAAATCTCCCTTATGTCAACTGAGGAGGGGTTTTTTGGGGGGGGTGTTCGTTCTTTCTCTTTCTTTCTCTCTTTCTTAGCAATCCCGACTTGCGGATGATGGGAGCTGCTCTATTGTTCCTCCCAGCCGCGAAAGGAGGACTCGCTTGAGAGTCCCTTACTGGGTGTAGGAAGGGCCCCCCTCCTGCGCCCTGGACTTGGGGGGGGAGAACTCATGCTTGCCCTCCGCCAGATGCTCTGCCAGCGGCCACAGAGAAAGGAAAGGAAGGAAGGAGGAGCCAGGGGGGAACAGGAGGAAAAAGTGTCTTCCAGACTCCAGCCTTGCAGCTGTTCAAGGTCTTCCCCGGGTATTTTTTGGGCTGGGGCGCGGGGAAACCACAAACCACCCTCCTTTCCGGTCCCAACGGAGACTCACAGCCCGCTTGGGTCCCGCCCGGCCGCTCCATCGCTCCGACCGGCAGCGTCCCGGTTCTCCTACTCCACCTTTGCTCGGCTCCGGCTGGAGACTTTTTGAATTCTCCCGCCGCCTCTTCCTCCTCCTCCTCCCTCTCTAGCCAGCTGCGCGGCGCGGAGGATGCTGGGCGCTGTAGTTCCCTCGGGGGCGGCACAGCTGGCCGAGGCGAGGCCGGCTCCCCTTTGCGCCCTGGGCGCACGGCGCGCCACGACCGGGCCAAGGCGCGCGGGAAGCGCGGCGCTTAAAACTGGACGCTCTCATTTGGATCGCAGCTGGAACAGCTGGGCCAGGAGCCTGTTTGTGGGAACTACAACTCCCAGGATGCAACAGGTCGGCCTGGGAGATTTCTGGGATTTGTGGGAAATAATTTTCCCTAGTCTTGGCTGGCGAAAAAGCGAAAGGATGCTCCCCTAATAAAAGCGCTTTTCCAGGGTGGATGTTCGCAAATTCCAACCCACTTCCCGGGTCCGAGAAAACGCGGCGTCCGAGAGAAATCTTTTCCTCTCTTAAAGGGCCACCATTTATTTATTCGCTGGTTCGTTCGTTCCTACTCAGGTCCCTTCGGTGGTTTTCTGAGAGACGGCCCTGGTGTGTTTCAGCAGCAGCACAAACACACACAAACACAAAGCAGGAACCAAAGACCCTTTGAAACTCTTTGGAGTTTGAAACCTTTTCTTTTAAAGGATTAAATTCCATTTCCTCAGACCCATCTCAGGGGGAAAAAAATCACAGGGAGAGACAGCTTTTAGCCTTAAATGGGCCACAGTACTGTACCGTTGATTTATTTTTAATTGCGGTTTTGTTGTTGCTGCCACAGCAGAGAGGCCAGTGTCACCTCTTGAAACTCCTTCTGTTATATACATGGTTAAAGATTCAGGAACCCTGCTTTCTTTTTGCTGTGGCCACTGGACCCCTTTCCCTGGGTCCTCAGCCCAGAGAGCAGCAGCTGGCCAAAAAAACAAAGAACCCAGTACAATGTAGTTGTATCGAAATCAAAAATTAAAAAGACTAAATCTGAGTCTATTGTAGTTTGGGAACATCATGAGAAGTCAGGATTCTCTGGAAAAGGCCATCCTGCTGGGAAAGGTTAAGGACAGCAGGAAAAGAGGAAGACCCAATACGAGATGGATGAACTCCCTCAAGGAACCCCACGGTCTTGCGTATGCAAGAGCTGAGCAGGGCTCTCAACTTTCCCAGCGTGATGGTCTTTTCCAGAAATAATCTTGCTTTCTCATGAGGTGCCCCAAGTAGGACAGCCCTCAGCTGCAGCGTTTTTGTCTCCAGAGAGAGAGAGAGAGAGAGAGTTCAGATTGGATTTGATCTAGCACCCACTGGTTCGTCTTATCTGGCTGTCCAGCGCATGCCCAAAGCTCTCCTCCAGCACTAGTTTCCGACCAAGTCAATGAATAAACCTGTGTCTTTAAAAAGCAACATGAGAAAGCTTCCGTATGAAGCCCAGCCGAAGGGGAGACGCGGGAGCGTGGAGCTGGTATCCATGGAGAGATTCAGCCTGTCTCAAGCAGACTGAAAAGAAACCGAATACTTTCAGGCCGTCACACATGGAAGGGAGAGAGACGACCCCAGTGGGCTTTCTAGGGCAGCTGGCAGCTCGGCTGCCTCTTATTAACCTTCCTGCAGAAGAAAAAAGCCGAAGGTAAGTTTACTGTACATGCTCATTTAAATTGAAATTAAAAAGAAGGTGCAGATTGATTGATGTACTTGTTTTTGCTAGAAACACCGCACCCTTTCTCCCCACATGCCTTTTAAAGAAGCCCTGGAAAATGTTAACAGACGGATTTTCCTGGAGTTTTCCAAAAATGCTTTCTAGCCTCTCTTGAATTCTTGATGGGTCACTTAAACATCCCCCCCCCCCGAATGTCCCCTCGGAAAGTCTCAGGGCCTCTGTTGTCATTGGAGGCATGCATTTAAATGAGTTCTTCCCCCTCCCAATCCAAATAAAGTCCTTGGAAGGAGAGAGGGGTGCAAAGGCAGAAATTCCACAGGTGATGCTGGTAGATTTGCAGCTCAATGGCTTCTCTTGTTTTAAATTTAAAGTTCTGTTTTCCTTAAAAGAAAGGAAAGGATTCAAAGGGCAAGGAAAGAGGTTTTTCAATCAACGCGAAGAAGAACTTGGCAGGAAGGGCTGTGACAGAGCAGGGACCGGCTGCCTCCGAGGGTGGGGGGCCTTGGAGACTCTTCAGCAGAGAGGTTGGGTGGCCATCAGCCGGGCGCAGCTTCTTTGCCTCACCAGGGGGATGGAGTAGACGCCCCTCCCCGTAAAATGTTAGTTCTATATATGCAATGAATGTTTGCGTGGGGAGTAATTGATCAGTTGTCAACCAATGTTGAAATGAAAAAAACCATACCGCCTTGCTCCTGCAGCTTCTTCTCTGTTGGTGTCCCTTTAGGAGATTCACGACTTCCCACCCACCCACTCGACAAGCCCCCGATGGCTTTGGAAGACACATCTGCGCTGGACGCGGGGCTGATCCGGGAAGGGGGCTCAGGGCAGGCCCCTCGGGGGTCCGTGAAGAAGAAGAGAAAGAACAGTAAAAAAAGCAAAGCAGAAACCAACGCAGAGGAAACGGAGAAAAGAGAACATGAGGAAGCATCCCCGAGGAGAGACACGGATATTGAGGGCCTGACCGCGGCGGGCCACCGGGCCTTGCTTCGCGGTGATACCAAGAAAGCGCTGGCGTGCTTCAAAAGAGCTTTCATCCTTTCCGAGGGGACCGCCAGCGAGCAGGCTCGGAGGGTGTGTGCCTTCAACCTCGGGGCGGCTTACGTGGAGGCCGGGAAGCCGAAGAAGGGCCTGGACGTCCTCCTGAGGTCTCTGCCGGGAGAGGGAGAGGACGCCGCTGAGCCCATGGGGGACCTTTTCTTCAATGTCGGGGCCGCCCACGCAGGGCTGGGGGACTACGCCAAGGCCCTGGAGTCTTTCCGCCAAGCCCAGGCCCGCTACCGCTCTGTCCAGGCTGGGTGCGACGCCAGCACCTCCGTGAAGATGGGCTACTGCTACCTGGGCCTGGAGGACCCCTCCCAGGCCACCTCCTGTTTCCTGGAAGCCGGGCGAGCCTACGAGGAAGCCGGGAGCCCCGAGCGAGCGGCCACGGCCCTCTGCCAAGCGACCAGCCTCATGGGGCAGAGCGGGCGCCACGGGCCCGGCGAGGTCGTGCAGGTCTTGGACCAGTGCCGGCAGCTGTGTGAGCAGATCGCGAACAGGGCCTTGCTGGGTACGTTTCCAGAAAACGCACAAGCCCAGATCCTGGGGTCAAACTCTCAGTACACCCAGTATTGGTATCAGAAATTGGAAGGAGAGACTAGGTCTCAGGGTGTAGAAACATGTAAATCATCTTTATTCTAAATCCGGAGGGCATAATGGCCTGCTGCAGTTCCCTGAAGGCTGACCATGCGTGCCTGAAAGGGCACGGTGCTCTGCTTTCTGAAATCAACCTCTGAGCACTCCCAAGCTGGAAAAGACCCTCTGGATCATTGGGTCCAGCCCCTCTCCTCTGGCCCCCCACAGCCGGAGACCTAAACCTCTGAGCTATCCGTGTCGGAAAGCCTTCTGTGCCGGCGCGACACCAGATATGCCGCAGAAAAGACACGCCAGGGCCACACGTTGGAGACCCTGAGGGCAGGGGATTCCAGAATGGGCCTTCATTATGTCTCCGTGAGAGGAGTTGGTTCGAACCCTACAATGACAGAGTTGGGAAGGGTGTCCAAGGCCATCTAGTCTGACCCCAGAGGCAGGAAACCCACCACTGAAGCGAGTAGACATCCACTTTAAAACTTCCACTCTCCGAGGGAGTCCATTTCCCTGTCAAACAGCTTGGATGCTGTCACTTCAGTGAGTGATCTCAGGAGGCTCGGGACCCCAGTTTTTGCCTGGGTACTCACTGCCACATGATACCCGCCACAGCCTGCTTTTCACATTCGGCACACAAACAAACAAGCGAAACCTCTTTGTCCTTATGAGGCCAGCAGATTCTCTGATTTGTTTAAATTTGAGCTAATGCAGGGAGAGAAAAATATATAGTATTATACACACACACACACACACACACCAATGCAGGGAGAGACAAATATATATTATTACACACACACACACAGTGTACACCGTTTTCTCTGACCCACCTCTCTTTCTCTCCCGCTCGCAGGAAAACTCTACAACGACATCGGACTCTGCTTCTCCCAACTCAAAATCTTCTCACTGGCAGCCGAAAGCTTCGAGCGTGCCCTTCCTTTTTGCCAAAACGGGGAGGAAGCTGCTGTTCAGGATCGGGGCAAAGAGGCCGCCGTCCTGCAGAACCTGGGAGCGGCCCAGAACATGCTGGGGAACTTCAGCAAGGCCCTGGGTTTCCACCAGAGAGCCGCTGCGTTGCATAGTAGGTGGCCGGACGGATCCGTGGCAGGAGTCTCTCTCTCTCTCTCTCTTTGTGGGGTTGGGGGGATTAGGGAGAGAAATCTAAGCAAAATGTTGGCCATTCCAGGACTCTTTTAAACGCCTGCATTTCTTGTTGTGTATGTTTGGTTCACCCAACACACAGAGTTGGAAAGATGGAGTTTGGGGAGAGCATCTTATTTGAACCAGGATGGCCATTCTGAGAGGTGGAGTCCCAAAAAACAACCGCCCCCCCTTCCCCACATGCACACATTCCCCAGATCTGGGTAGATCTGTCTGTTTGGAAAGCCGTGCAGCTGGTTCAGCTCCGTATAGGTCAAAAAAAGCAATCTGTATTGTTATGTTTTCATGAAATTTGGAAAAGCCTTCTGCACATCAATAGGATGCTGGATGACATTTTGTAATGCAATAGGACCCCTGTATCTATCGGATCAATATCTGCGGTTTCACTGAAAATACTAAAAGAAAAGGCAATCACCCAGAAATATTTATTTGCACAAGGTATTTACCAGAACTAAATGGAGCCAGAGTCCTCTTTTCAGAGTCTGCAGATAAATGCAACCCCCTACAGACAACACATGACTCTGATCAAAACAGACTTCAGCCCAAAATCCAAGGCAAGGTTAGGGTCCAAAGACGAGCGGGCAACGAGGAGGTGGAACGGGTGAGACGGTTTGTGCATTTTTGTGCCCTTGTGTCTCCTGTGCGTTGTGCAGGCGCCCTGGGGAACCGGAGGGCCCAAGGGCAGTGTTTCTGCAACACGGCCTTCGCATTCAGCCAGATGGGGGACCACGAAGCGGCTGAGGAGAACTACCTCCATGCCCTCCAGGCCTTCAAGGATGCAGGTGAGGCCGGAGAGGGGATGAGAGGGGGGAGGGAGTGTCCAGACGAAGGAGACACCTGGCCCCACCAGCTCCCTGGGGTCCTTCTAGACCCACTTCAGGATCTCAGGGGGTCCAAGCTTAAGCCTTCCTCAAGCCCTTTACCTGGTGGATGTCTTGACATCCAATTCCTTCTCTGGGGCTTTCACTCCATTCTAAAAAGCGGAAACACCCTCGTTGAGTCTTAAGGACTGGATCCTTTGGTTTCACCATCTGTGATTCAGAACAGGTGGTGCTTCTCTGGGAGACCATCTCTCCCTCTGTTACCGAGAGGGCCAGTGCTTGGGAAAGTTCCTTTTTTTTTCCAGACTAGCACGCCAAGGGGCTCCCCGCTGGCCGGAACCTCCTAAAAGAGTTTTGGTTGCAAGCCGGACTCTTTTGAGGCTCTAAAGCCCTTCAGGGGTGAACGGGTGGGTTCTTCTCAGTCGTGGGCTTCTCCCCAACCAGGTTCCCCTTCTCCCTCTGCAGGTGACCTTCAAGGACAGCGCCAGGCCTGCGAAGGGCTCGGGGCCTTGCGATTCCACCTGGGGGACCCCGAAAGGGCCGTTTTGCATTACAAAGAAGCCCTCCGGCTGTTCTCTCCCTGTCCGGTAAGGCTCCTCGTCTTTAGTCCTTTAAATGTTTTGCCAATGGTCCTCTAAAACAACAACAAAAACCCTTGTCCTGCTGCCTGTGGATATAACTTTGCAGCTGCTTCATTAAGAGGCGGAGACTGTGTTTGGAAGAAACGTAGGGACTGCTTGAAACGAACTGAGTTGGTCTCCAGGGAACGGTCATGGTAGGGAAACGGCGGAAGGCAGCAGCAGGAAAAGAGGGAGTCAACCCAATACGAGATGGGCAGCCTCCTTCAAGGAAGCCACAGGCTGGAGTTTGCAAGAGCTGAGCCGGGCTGTTCAGGACCTTTCGGAGGTCCCTCGTTCGTGAGGTGGCCATGAGTTGGAAGCAACTAGAGATCTGGGACTGTGCAAAACGAAACAAGGGGAGACTCTCAGGGTAGGGAAAAACAAGGGGCGTTTGGGCGATCGCTCCTTCGTAAGGTCACCATAAGTCGGGGTGCGCGAGATGTGATAGCAGAAAGCAACCCCAGGTGAGCACCTCCCTCCCCGGGTGTGGCCGTTTGGAAGTCTGATAGATGTGAGACTCCAAAGGCAATCCTAAAAAGGGGATTTTTCCCTTCCCAAGACGGTTGCTTTCCATCCCCTCCTGCAGGGGAAAACCATCTCAACCTTTCCCAGCCCTTTGGAAATCAAACGAAGCCGCCGTGCTAAAGGCCTGATGGAAGCCAAAGAGTTAATGCGTTTGTTGCTCCTGGGTTCAAACAGCAAACACTCACCGCCGATCTCCCTTCCTCCCTGGCAGGACGCTTCGGGCCCGGCTCAGGAGCGGATCGTGAACAAACTGACCGATGCCCTGCAGTCCACGCTCTCTTGGAACAGCCGGATTTTCCGTGGCGGTGTGAGGACCCCGTCGGCTCCGATGGTGAGTGCCTCACCTGTGCTCTTTCAAAAACATTCGGGGTGGCCTCTGGTCCTGGTGGCTATGGATAATTCCGTGGGGCAGAAGGCTGGTTGCCTTGGAAGAGCAGATCCGGGGAATCACAGGCAGGCGGGTTGCCTTCGGCTGATGTTCTCATGGTACTAACTGGCCACAGTGGGTCCTTCACCCTAACCCCGACCGCATGAGGTCGGAGCTCTGTAGCCCCATGATACGATGTCATACCTCGTCAGCCGCTGCGGTTCCGTCCGACGGGCGTCCCGGGCTTCGTGGTTTGGCGGAAGGTGTGCTTTTCCGTTGACGCTCCAAAGGTTTGACCCCCTCAAAGGTTTGCTTCTAAACTGTGCTTTGGATTGCTTTCCATGGGCTTCTCCTTTAATCCTTTTTTCCAAAAGCTGGCCGTGTTTGGCCTTTGAAGGGCATCCGTGCTTTCTTCCTTCCGCCTCCTGGCTTTTCCTTCTGCTCCTCTGGGCCGGGAGCCATTAAGAAACCGCAGAAGAAGTTGGGAGGGCAGGACAAGAGGGGAATGGTGGATTTATGGGTCTGCTCCACTTCTCTTGCAGCCCTCTTATCCACACCTAAACTCCCTCCCCAGACCCACACACCTCGAGTGCACCTAGATCATCAGTCTTGCAACAGTTGCATCCTAACAAAGAGGCACCCCATTGCAGTTTGTACAGCCTTGCATGCTGCCTGTGGCTGAGTGACTGGGAGGGACTTTTCTGGGGTGACTGTCAATCTGTCCAGCATTGACCAATTATACTCGCCCACCTCTGAATTC